TGAGACCCCCCCACCTGTACTCTGCCCAAAACCTTACACCCCCAACCCCCAGACAGCACCCCCCGCACTCCTGACCCATCCAACCCTCCCCCGGCTCCCTGTCTCTTGACTACCCCCCCAGAACCTCCCTGCCGCTTCTCTGACCCCCTGGCCCCCTTATTGTGCTGCAGAGCGGCGCGCTCGACAGCGGGGGAGGGGAGCAGGGTCGGAGCTCCAGACTGCTGGAGGCCGTGATCTGCCAATGCAGGGAGGGAGGGGGAGAGAGAGGAGGGGAGTGGTGTCAAGTTGCAGGAGAGAGGAGGGGGTTGTGGAGGAGGGGCTCTGGCTGCCGGAGCCCCGTGCGAGTGGCACGATCCGGCTGGCTGCCCTGTAAGCCGTGCGTGCTCTGCACGGGGGGAAATCCGGACATTGACAAATTCCCCCCGGACGCTATTTTTAACTGAAAAAAGCCGGACATGTCCGGGGGAATCCGGACGAATGGTAACCCTACCCACCCTTAAAGTGACAACTTGCAATTCCAACAGTTCTCAATAAAAGACAGGTTCCCCCCTTTGATGTACACAGCATACATGCCATGTGGTAGGACTGAACAGCCCCTTGCTCCCTGGAGCTAACTGCCTTCTCTCACAAGGCACCAATATAAAAACACATTAAGCAATATTTTCTAAAGTAACAGAGGCCTACTAGTTGGGTGGATCTTTCAAAAGGGGCTGGCACAGTTCCAGCTTGGGGCAAGGAGCTGAGGGGCGGCTACAAGAGCAGGAGAGTTCTGCAAAAACTGGGGTGGTGACCCCATCTGACAGCCACATTAACTGTCTGAAAAGTACTTTTAATCCTTTGTGAAATGGAGCCTCAGTTTCCCACTAAAAGGAGCATTGACATAAACCCAAGAGTAAATTCTAAAGAGGCTTAAGAGGAAATGAAGCTGTCTCTGTGGTTTGTTCTTCTTTTTTAATATCTTCACTGGCTGAATGGTGAAGCTCTAAGTCAATGCCCAGAAGCTAATTTTTTGTAGCTGTACAAATGCAGCAGTGATTTATGCTAGAAGAGGGTACAGTGCATATTAATGGAGCAGATAAATACTACAGCGTGTCAAGAACAGCAGCTACTAGAACTAGGATGATGCAAGATAGGCCATAAGGCAGGTTTTGTACAACAAATGGAGGATGGATTGAAAACCTTTTAAAAGCCATGGCCCAGATGTTCAGCTGCTCTAAGTAATGTACTCTCACTGAAGATTATATTTATACCAAGTGAGCCTGTGGCTCCCGACCTCTGTTTTGTTGATCAAGGCTCCCTGGATACAACATGGAGCTCAGGATCCAAACTCCACTCTAGATCCAGACTGACCCAAATGTCCTTTAAATGCAAGCTCCTGGTTAGAAAGATACCACCAGTGGGCATTCCAGGGTATCCTTATCTGCTTGACT